AAAGAAAATGCCTCAGCCAGATAAATCCCCAAAACATTCATCCATCAGCCACACACACCACTAGGGTTGCCAACTCCCTGAAAAATAAATAAGGGACACCTCGTGGCCAGGGCCGGGCGACCCAGTTGTCTTCACCCTTCCCAGTGTGGTGAATTTTCTAGCTCTTTTTTTGTGTGTGAAATTATTTTTTTTAACCCTTTGACTTGAATTTGATTTAAGTAGATGTGTATTCTTTGTGATATGAACACATGTGAAACAAATGATCATTTAGCCATTTATTTTTAGCTCAAAATGACAACATTAACACAATAAAACAGGTCTCTTTCTTAAACAGAAGCCTGTCATGCTTAACTTTTGAGAATATAAGTAAATCTTTCTTTAAAAGAACTCTGTCCTGCTTAACTTAAAATAATAGAAAACAATAGAAAGAAAAATATTCTTGTAACAGTGCACATTTAGTGCATTTAGTACAATTGGCTTCAGCTGAGGTATTATTTCAGCTTTTCTAATGCTAATCAGCTGCTCCTGTTTGTAAACCCGCTTGTTCCCATGATTACGCATCTTAACTCATCATCATTATTAATCTATGTATTACTTTTATGTATTAGTCATCTATTTGTTGTAATCATGTATCCTTGCAGTTGTTTATTACACAAAATAAATTATATTATCACACTTCTGGCCACATAGCGCTGATATTCACTGCACATGCCCATATTAACTTTTTCCAGCCAGGTGTTTTCCTTTCCCCATTCTTCCCTTTCTCTGAGGGGAACAAACATTGCTGCTCTAACGCTGGGCTCACACTGTGCGATTTTAGGCCCATTTTGAGCCGATTTTTGAGTGATCGGACCGATTTTGGCCTTCATCGTGCGTCGTGTAGTATACGTGGGGTAAAGAGAAGTGATTAACACCTCACGACCAGCTCCCGATCATCAATCGCTCGTGAGCCGCTCACACTGCTCGCGCGCAAACACGTAAACGCCGTGAAAAAGACGGAGCAGCACGGCTGTGCAGCGTGTGATCTGGACACAAGCGATGGAGGCACAACTTGTAGAACTTTGGAAAGCTCATCAGAGCCTTTTCGATGTGGCCTCACAAAATGATCACGACCACAACAACCGTGAAAATAGTTGGATTTACACTGCTGCTCAATCACAGCTGCCTGATCATGTTTTTCATTAGCAATTTAGCAAAGTTGATGGTGGTGGTGTGTGTGTCTGTGTGAGTGAAAGACAGAGAGAGCGAGCGACAGATTTTCTGTTATAGCCTTCATTTTATGGAGGCACAGTGTGAGCACTCAGGTCGCATCAGAGCATCGGGCGGTATAGTGTGAGACCTGCATCGTGACCTATGAACTTCTAACCCCTGCGAGTCAATCGTGCAGTTTGAGCAGGAGCTGAATAACGTGACTGAAAAAATCGCACAGTGTCTGCCCAGCTTTAGGTGTACTGTCGTCCGAGACTTGCACCGCAGTGTCGGCGTTTGTTTCCCTGTTGGCCATGCTTCTTGTTGTGGTCATCTGTTGTCTTCCGGTATTTTCTCCGTAAGCGACCTTTCCTCGACCAATGAGATGAGCGGTAATCTGAATTGTCATACTCGAATTGTCATAAGTGTGCTGTCAGCTCATTGGTCACAAAGCAGGAGAGGGGCTGGGAATTATGTTTTCCAACAAAGTGTTAATTCCATAAACATTTACAGACTACTTTTGATTCTCACTGTATTACGGGACAAAGTGCGTCCCTTAGCTCAATACGGGACGTGTGCTTTTGTTTCGAAATACGGGACGATTCCGTATTTTAAGGGACGGTTGGCAACCCTACACACCACATAACACTGCTGTTCTATTAGATAATGAGTTTCTTCCCATGTAGCCAGGTGTGTGTCGAGGTAAAGCCTCCCCCACACATCAGAACCCAGAATCTATTAGTGCCACCCATTTTAAACCATCTCTACAGCATTCTGTTTGCACCTGCTATCATTCAATCATCTTTCCTAACATAATACTAGTCCACTAGTTTACATATCACCTCTCATCCCACTAAGTGAACTGGACAAGATGATAAAACAGAAACGCATGCTTAAGATGTTATCTGGTCTTCATTGCATGTGTATATGTCTTAATAGGATTAATGCATTTTCTGTTTGTGTGTGTGATTTTTGTGTGCCTCTCCTCCTTGCAGTGTTTCAGACACTTTTCAATTCTCCACTCAAAGGCAGTCGGTTTTCCTCCCCAGGTTCCTTAGCCCAATTTGATCTCCCACACTAAACAACAGCGTTCTTCCATGTCTCCTCCCCTCCTTCCACTGTACTCTCGTCTCCCCCCTTGCAGCAGTCCATTGCATCTCCATCCATCCAGTCATGATGATGGTGTTTTCTCCTTGCTGATGCCTTTTGCACATACTGCTGTTGCTGCTGGACCCCTCGCTGCTCAGGATACTGCTGTTGTCTCTTGACCTGCCATGTTGTTGCTTTTGGATCTGCATTTCTTGTTTTCAGGGAGACGTTAACATCCTTGGAGCTTGCTTTTCGGGATGAGGAACACATGGAAGTGAAGCTGTAAAACAATTCAGCCAAAACTCGTCCTGGGTGTTTCTAATGATGTTAACCTATTATTTTACTCCGACCGCTGCCTGTGGCGATTGATCCAGGTCTGCTTCCCACCTGCAACTGACACACTTAGACATTTTGATCATTCTCATCACTACTTAAATCACACATCTCCCCTCGCTTTTGTTTTTGAGCCAACAGAACCACGTCATCTGCAACAAGCAGAGATCAGATTCTGAGGCCCCGGGGCAGACCCAGGACACACTGGAGAGATTATATCTCTTAGCTGGCCTGGGAACGCCTTGATGTTCCCCCAGACAAGCTGGAGGAGGTGGCAGGGGAGAGGGAAGTCTGGGCTTCTCTGCTTGAGCTGCTGCCCCCATGGTCCTGGACAAGCGGGAGAAGTTGGGTGGATGTTATATTTGAAGTGCTTACAACTCATAAACAATGATGTCTGGAGACCAGAGCTCCCTCACAGGTAGAGAAGTCTTAGTGACACCATCACACTCCTTGGGGTCCCAGACCAGGAACTAATTGTGCCAGTACTGCCACAAAAGTAAATCTCCAGTGTAACATTTAAATATGTGAGCAGCTTTTTACAGTGTCCATGGTTATTCCTGTTATAAATGTTACATTTAGTGAGTACTTACCAGTCTCAGCCACAAGAAAGTAGTGAGTATCTGTGTTTTGTCATTCTGAAATACAGTGAATATTAGTAATCCTGTTACAGACTGAATTGAAAACTCCAGAACACGTAAAAAACCCTCTGAATCATGTACAAACTCCAAAATACGTAAAAACACAACAGAAGTGCTTCAGGATGCTCGGGGCAGTGTTGAGCTTTTGTTACCTTGTGGCTACACAAGCTAGGAAGTACCAACGACCGGATTTAGTGTGTGGTCGTAACAGGTAAATGAACATTCTTACAACATTATTTGTAATAATAATGCTTGTGTATAAATACACAAACACACATGCTTTCAATTGTGTAATTTAAGTGATCTAGGCAGCTCCGTTTTGGAAGTTCAGTTAACGCTAGAAATGTATTTTGGAATTTGTACGTGTTTTGTCTCTAGGGGCCACCGCATATATTTATATAAACATACATAAATAAAACCACAGGTTTTTGTTTTTTTTACATTACTAATTTTGTGCATAATTTTATATTGTTGTTAATAATAAATTAATTAAAGCAACGAAACAACCTGACGAGCCGGTTGGGAGTTGAAAGAGCCGGCTCTCTAAAAAGAGCTGGAAATCCCATCACTAGAATGCAACACACAAAAATCAGTGATTCTTGAGATAAGGAACAAAACATGTCCGGCAGATAAAACCCAATTTTGTGGTTAAAAATATGCATACAAGTGTTACCCAACTGCCTAAAAGACAAACCAAGGCAATGTTTATACAACAAAAGTATGATTTAGCATTTTTTATACATATATATTTATTTTAAATGGTACAATACATTACCAGTACCTTAAAAATCCGCTGTCCACAAGCAGGTGTGATAATATTAAAATACAGAAAAAAATTAAATGTAAAATTAAACATCATGGCTCTCGTCACTAAGTATTTAAGTCAATACCTTATATAATATCAAAATATGCAATTGAAAATTTATTAATTTAAGTGATTAAAATCGTGTCCAGAGTTTTTGTGAACACCATCAGATTTTTTTAAAAGTACAAAAAAAATCAGGAATTATTGTGGGCAGCTTACACTCTGAGGACCCCTTTACCACTTCCTGTTTGCTACACATGCCATGAGGTCACTGCTGTGATAATTTTTTATTTTTTAAAGATGCAACAATTTCAAAAGCATTTTTATTTATTTAACTTCAGGTCTGCCAATAAGTGACAACATAGTGAAACAATAATCAGTGTGTATATGTATACTTTTTAATTCATTAGCTCAAATCAAACCCCACAAATTATTCATGCACCACAGTCACAAGACCCTTCTCAGATACAAATTAGCTAGTTCAGTGAATGGGAAAAAACTTCACTTTGGTTTTCCAAGCAATCTGCAATGTAAAAACAAAACAAGAAAGTGTGCACGGTATTTTCAAACAAGGAATTACAAAATTTTGCAAAATGAAGAAACAAATTGAAGGCTGGCAGTCAACTGTAATAACCAGCTAGATGGACAGTACTAGAGTTATGTTGATTGCTCACAGCCTGGGAAAGACTGACTGATGTAATTAGTCGACCTGCTCAAATATAATTACATAAAATCAAACTTAGAGACAGCATAATTTGTCAGGTGCTTCCTCTCTTAGGAAGACATTGGAATATGTCAGCTTTGCATCCCCCCCTCATGTTTCAAATGAATTATTGTTGTCATAACAAAAAAGTTATTAAGATTATGTGCCACCATAGTCTGCTCCTATGAATTTGAAGCATACATATTATAGATAAGATGTGTCTGCATAGGCTGCTGAAACACATCTATCCAACCTTTTGAGGACATATGTAGGATAAAAGAACATTAATCATGTTCTTGATAATTGGAGGTTGTGGGTGCATGTTGTGTGGCAGGTGGTGGGCCAGAACCATCTCCCAGGCATCGACCAGATGGACATTGAAGCCTTTGAACACAGCCCTGAGTGCCTTTAGCCGCTGAAAAGTGTACCAGTCGCTGTTGACAAATGCACCAGAGGGTGTAAAAGATTTGGGATTTCCAGTCCGAATGACAACCACAGTGCCTGGAGCCCTGGACAGTAGCCTTACCACTGCCCTGCGAATGGACATCAGTCGACGGATGTAGAACTCAATAGGGAAATTGTCAAAGTGTGCCCAGATGCCAAAAACTACTACAGTGTTACTACCTCCAACCACATTGTCCAGCTCATTGGCAATATAATGCAGCTCCATGGATGGGACATTGACAGTACGCAGAGGAGGACCGTGGGCGCGGTGCGTCACAAAGATATTGTTTGCATAGTCCAGCGCCATTAAAGGTCCGATAGACTTGGGGCTATGCAGGTTAAACTCCTTTAGATCTAAAAGAATTCCAAAGGGAATAAGTTAAGCTACATGAATAAAATGGGGTGAACATCATAATGTTGGTTTACAGAAGGGTTTGCAGAGAAGCTACCTGGTAGTGATGCATTAAGGTACTCAAACCACTGCCTCATTGTGGAGTCTCCATACATATGGACCACCTTTCCTTTCAGACACTGAGTGATGGCTGAGGAAGTGTTGAACTGTTGAACTGTGGAACCATCTAGTGCTCGCCACACACCCTGGTAGTAATAGCCAGAGGGTTTAGACTCCCCACTGCTGCTGCTCACCTCTGACTGACCTGGTAAGCAGGAAAACAAATAATTGTGTGTGTTTTTAACTTAAAATGAAAAGACCAAAACAAAGCCTTTCTTTAACCTGTCTGTAGCATTCAAACCCAAGTCAAATTCTTACAAATGTATTGCTGTATTTTTCTAATTTTGATTTCATGAAACATCTGGTCGATGGCGTGTTCTAGAATGATGTTAAAGCTGACCCCAGCCCAGCAGCCAGAACCTGAACTTCAACTTGTAAGAAACTAATGAGCAGTCAGGTTGCCACCTCTGTTTCTCCCTGTCCATGTTTCTATAGCATGGACAGGGAGCACTGTGCTATTTTCAATTCCCATTACTAGTCATTGATTGGCTTCCAACGATCTGCCCTTCTACATGAGAGATCAATCTAATTTTAATGAGGTAAACCTCACTGCACTGCCCAATTCCCAGAAGTTTCTTTGTAATTTTATAAGAGACCCCTACGGTAAGTTAATTTCATCCACATCTTGAACTATGCTTTCATAAGAACACCCCCAGCTGTTAGTGTTATCAATAACGCATCAATAAAGTTCTCCAGATCTCCTGATCACTTACTCTTAAAATAACCTTGACACATCCTATAGGTGTCCAATATCAAGAAGATGCTAGTAAATGTTGTGGGAGTTTTAATTTATTTATTTATTAATGTTTGACCTGCCAACTGCTTATAATATATATCACAACCTTTTTTAAATATTTCATTATGGAGATATAGATGTTAGCGTACCTTTCTGTTTTGGCAAAATGGTGACGCTGGCTGGTCCTGAAGCCGGAATGGAGACTTTCATATTTACACCTCTGAAGGAAAGCATACACAATTAACATCTTCACAAAATTTGGAAAGAACATCTTTTTGAACTAGAAAATTAAATGTATTATGCACAGTATATACATTTTTAGTCACTCCAGAAATTTAACACCACAGATAATGCTCACCTCTGAAAAAGCTTCTCCATAGTTGTCAGGTTTTTTTTATATCCTCCATTGTAGTTGCTGATCCTGGCATTACAACTCAGATTTGTTGGCTTGTAGCAGAACCATGGCTCACCTGTATGGAGGTCAGTGTAGTTACACACAGGCTGCTCAGTTGGACGTAAACATACGTTACACGTGGTCGTTCTAGTGAACAAGCTTGAGCGGAACTGGCTCTTGAAGAAGATCCTGTCAGGTTCCTCTTTGTTCATCCTGCGCAGCTCTGTGACTGCCTCACTGGGATGAACCAATATCACCTGGTAGGACAAAGAATCAGAGTGTTGAAACAGTATCACATAAATATGTATAATGACGACAACCTTTTAGAACAGACTTTCTTTTTGATGGTAAGTAATTCATTCAGATTACATGCATGCAAGCATGAAGACAATGACAAAGTCAAATGTATTTATATATCACAATTATATCACAATTGCTGTACAATTAAGATAATTAAAAAATAAAAACATAGGGAGACATGATAAGAGTTAAGAAAAAGAATCATGAAATTGTACCAATTTAAGCGATCAGAAAGCTATGAGGGTGCTAATCTGTGCAAAGCCTTAAAAACAAATAATAAAATCTGAAAATTAATTCTAAAACTAACTGGCAGTCTGTGCAATGATGCCAGTGTGGTGTGAATAAGGCACGGCGGGTCCAGTGATCAGTGTTTTGAGCCATTTTATTTACATCACAACACACCACACTCCAAACCCTGGGCCCTGGCCAAGCGACAGGGAGGTGTCTGTTCTGGTGGCCGCCCATGCATACAGTGGCGCCGGTGATGAAGTGGGTCCAAGGGTCGCCCACGGAGCTGGACCGGAGGCCACCCATGTGGTTGTCACAGATTATTAGGCAGAGCACTCACTTGCAGGACTCTGAAGTTTAGAGAGAAGGTGAGGGTTTATTTTCAGTGCGGCACCAAGTGAGGATATCTACATATATACAGTGAGACAGATAACACTGGGCTCCGGGGGGTGGAGGGGGGTCTGAGGGGAAGGTCCAAGGCGGGGTACATATGCTCCTCTTCAACTTAATCCACAACTCACTCTGAATGTCCACTCCAAAACGCTCACTCACACACATCCACAGAAATCCAGACAGCAGGGAAGACGGGCAGGGAATCTAGAAGGCCTGTACACAGAGAAAAACAACGTGAGGAGGAACCTCTAGGTGATCACAAGAAATACTTCCAAAGGCTAGGCCACACTGACGCTAGGTAGTGTTACGCTCCAGCGAGGAAGCAGCCTCTCTTGCCATCTTAAGTAGTCTGCCAGGATCAGTGTGAATGAGCCACAGGTGTGTGTTCAGGGCAGGTTCAGAGGCGGGGACTCAAGGTCCAGTTCCGCCCTGGTGGGAGAGGCGAAGACAAAAAACACACACACCACGACCTCTCCAGATCTTGAGAACCATGACAGTGGCAAGCAGCGACACAGCCGGCGTGGCATTGAGCCGGGGCTCATGGACAGCTGGGCAGGCGTCCAGCACGCCGGACCACACCACACACCGGCCTCTCCGCCGCTGCCTCTCCCAGCTGGCGCAGCTCACGCACCGCCGCTGCTGCTGCTGCTGCTGCTGCTGCTGCTGCTGCCTCGAGAAGCCCCTCGCGCGGCTCCTTCGTCGCCGCCACCCCCGGCATGAGCAGCCTCTCGCGCGGTTCATCCGCCACTCCTGGCTCGAGCAGCCTCTCCCGCGTCCTGGGTTTGGGCACCAGTGTAGTGGGAATGAGACATGGCGGGTCCAGGGATCATAGGTTTTGAGCCATTTTATTTAACATCACAACACACCACACTCCAAACCCCTGACTCCCCGTGTTTTTAACTGGGCGGGCGTGAATAGGGATGCCGTGCAGGTGCGTCCGCCCTCCCTGCACAGCACCACAGGCCACGCCCCACCACAGCCAGTATGGGAGATATGTGGTCTCGCTTGCGTGTGCCAGTTAGTAACCGTGCTGCAGCATTTTGGGCCAGCTGCAGATGGCTAACTGATGACAGACTAACACCAGAGTAAAGACTATTACAGTAGTCGAGGCAAGATGAAATGAAGGCATGGATAGCTCTCTCAAAGTCTCCAAAACAGAAAAATGGCCTCACTTTGGCAAGTAGTCAAAGATGAAAGAAACTGGACTTGATTACAACATTAATCTGTTTGTCAAACATTAGAGTCGAAAAACACTCATAGGTTCCTAGCAAAGGTTTTTTTTATATTTAAAGGGCCAAAGTCGCAGTGGACCAAACACAATCACCTCTGTTTTCTGTTGGGTTGGCTTTAGGAAGTTTAAAGCCATCCATGCCTTAACATCCTCCAAACAATCTAGCAAAACCTTCAGAGCACTCACAGATTTACATTTCAGTGGTAAATCTGTGCGTCGTCTGCATAACAATGGAATTGTTTTTTAAAAATTGAACCCATAGGGAGCATATAAATAGAAAAGAGAACTGGACCAAGAATGGACCCCTGGGGGACTTTTGTATGATATGTATAACTATGTAACTGTATACACTATTTATCATTGTGCACTGAGCATATATATATTTTAACTTTCACGTAGAGTCTTAAGCACAAGACATTTTGCGCACACACACACACACACACACACACACACACACACACACACACACACACACACACACACACACACATTGCCTTGTCTTTGTAACCAAGGGGGGTTATGAGGGGAGGTACTATTGTTTTGTGTGAACTGTGTTCCCAATAAAAGGCAGCAATCGGAGGCCGGATTTGGGGTCATTTTCGTGGCGGACACAGACGAGGCCTCCCTTGCAAGTAATCGATCGATCGCTGACTGTCTTGTTTTCTTTCATGATGAATAAGTCTCTAAAACCAGCGGGGCTTGTGGAAACACAGACCCAACACCATTTTTATCTTGAAAGGTCTGGAGCTGAAGAAAGACAAGTTTCTCTAGGACTTTAGAAAGAAAAGGCAATTTAGAAATTGGTCTGTAGTTGGATAAAACTGCTGGATCCAGGTTAGGTCTTTTAATAGGTTCCACCACTGCATGTTTAAAGTCGGTAGGGACACACTCAGACTGAAGACTGCTATTGACAGTAGACAGTAAACTCATACCCACAGTGTCAAAAACATCTTTCAGTAAACGAGATGGGACCATATTCAGAATACATCTTGTGGGTTTCAAGTCGCACCGAACTGCAACAAGGGTTTTCCCTGTCACCCTGTCTCTTCAACCAAAGATCTGAAGAAGCTCTGGCCACACGTGTGTTACCAAAAGTCACAACCTTCAAGATTCAAGAGCTTTATTGTCAATACAGCAGTATACACAGTATACAGTGTGCCAAAATTCTGTTTCATCCTTTTCCCCCCACGGCGCCTTTGTAAGTATATGAAAGATATGTCTCCAAGAGATATAAAACTAGAAACAACAAATAAATAATGTGCTAAATCTTGGTAAAATTAAGGGATACAAAGGTACTAATTACTAACTATACAATACTAACTGTACGACAAACAAAGACAGGACAGAGACAATACAAAGTGGATTGTGCAGTGATATTGAATACCAGGTTGAGTCATTGTCAGGATATTACAGACGAGACACGACAAAGACATGTGCAAGATGTGCAAATGTAGTTTAGTTTAGATATGTGTTTAGTCCCTACGTGACTGAGTGTGCAAATAAGCATATCGTTCCCAGGTGGACTGTGTAAGTTTTTGTTGTTTTTGAGTTTTTTCACGAGTATTGTAAGGTGTTTGTAAAGGTGTATGTGTTTATCAGTCCTTTGGTGGTATCAAGTTGAGGGCTCTGACTGCTTGGGGGAAGAAGCTCTTGCAGTGTCTCCTGTTACAGTTTTGATCCTTCAAAACCGTCTGCTAGATGGAAAGAAGGAGAACGGTGCATGTGAGGGGTGGAAAGTGTCCTTCACTATGCTGTTCGCACATCGGATGATGTGTCTGTCATAGAGTTGGGAGATGGGTGGGAGAGGGCCTCCAATGACCCTCTCTGCTGTCCTCACCATCCGCTACAGAGACTTCTTTTCAGCGAGGGTGCAGTTTCCTTACTAGATAGTGATGTAGCAGCAGAGGACTGATGTGAGGATGGGAGGAGGGAGACTGGCCTTCTTCAGTTTCCTAAGAAAGACACTGTTGGGCTTTCTTCATGATGCTGGTGGTGTTCAGGTTCCAAGAGAGGTCATCTGATATGTGCACACCCAGGAACTTCACACTGTTGACCATCTTAACAGCAGATGATGTGCAGTGGGTGTTGGTCATTGAGCTCTTCCTGACGTTAACAACCACCTCTTTAGTCGTCTGAACATTTAGAGACAGGTTGTTATTCTGACACCAGTCCACCAGGTGTTGTACCTCCTCTATGTATTCAGACTCATTGTTGTTGGTGATGAGACCCACCACTGTTGTGTCATCTGCAAACTTGATGATGTGATTTGAGCTGTACTGTGTAGTATTCTCATGTGTTAGCAGGGTGAACAGCAGTGGACCAAGCACACAGCCCTGCGGCGATCCTGTACTCAGTCTGAGGTTTTATCTCCTAGTTAGAAAGTCCAAGATCCAATTGCAGAGGGGGGTGTTTATCCTTGTCAGTCCAACTTCTTTACCAGCTCCTGGGGAACGACTGTGTTGAATGCTGAGCTGAAGTCAGAAAACGGTATTCTGACATAAGTGTCCTTTTTGTCAAGATGGGAGAGAGAAAGGTGAAGAGCAGACAAAATGGCACCGTCTGTGGAGGGGTTTGGGCTGTATGCAAACTGTAGTGGGTCCAGATTTGGTGGAAGTTGTGTATTAACCCTTTAAGACCTACCATAGAACCAAGTCCGCCAGAGCTTATATTATATTTTTACATGCTGTGGAGCCATTTTTGGGAGCATTTTAAGTTGCTATACATCAATACAACCATTATAGCCCAGATTTTAATAATATGTATTCATTAAGTGCATAGTAATTACATAAATTGCAAAAAAGTGCAATAAACTACAAAAAAATTGAAAATCGTTTTTGATTTTTTAACATATATTTGTAGTTAGAGAAATTTAAGAGGCTTATCCCTCAAAACTGTAAATACAAAAAAGTTGCACAAAATAGTTTCCCACCACAGGAAATTTATTTTGAGTGTCTTCATAGTTTTATTTTTGAAATACACCAATTTTTATACACTGCAGGAAAAATGAAAATAAATATTATACTGCAAATTTGCAAAAAAGCAGCATATGCATCAAAATAAACTATTTCCAGCAGTGCAATATGAGTCCTAAGCATCCCAGAAACGACACAGAAAGTCATAAAGTCAAAGATAACTTTTAAAAAGAGCAGTATAGGCCCTGAGGCCCTGATCGCAAAAAAGACTACATTTCCGCGAAAATGACGTCACTTCCGGTTTCGGGCAGGTAATGGCGGAAATGCAAAAGTTCGCGCTGACGTCTATTCCAACGTAGGAAGTGTTTTGAACAGCTGATCAGATCGGTAAAGCGTGTTTCTGGAATATTATGTTTTTGTTCCTGCAAGCGCTTTTTATGCAGTTTTTGCAAAGCTTTATGTGGAAGGAAACCGTGACCGAGGACAAGCTGATGGCATCAGATGTAAGTACAACTCCTCCAGTTTCATATGCAAAAAAAATTTTTGCGCTAGCTTACGTGGTTGCAGTGCTACTGGAATTTAAAAATAGTTACGCATAACAGAGCGTTCCCGCTCCGATCGGCTCTAAAGGGTTAATGTGCCTCAATACCAGCCTCTCAAAGCACTTTGTGAAGATGGGCGTAAGTGGCACCGGCCGGTAGTCATTGAGTGCACTTCTTTGGCACCGGGATGATTTTCGTGGTTTTGAGGCATGCAGGTACCACAGCTGAGCTCAGTGATGTATTTAACACAAAGTGAAGTGCAGAGGGGGGGATAGAGGGGCTTGAGCACCCGTCCCTTTCCTGATGGGTGCCCACAGTGCCCTTTTGTTGAGACAACTTTTTAAAAAAAAAAAAATTATTTTTTTTTATGTGTGTGTGCGTGCGGAGTCCTGTCTGTGCCCCTCAACAATAATATTTAACTATTAATCACAGTTTTGCTAAATAAAAGGATCTGGCTTGCATCAGTCACATGATCACATTTAACCAATGATCGCCCTTGACGGCAGAACGCGCTGGTTACGAGCCGGGAACGAGCTCACAAAGAGCACGCGCATTTTTTGCGGTTATAAGCTTGACCTTGAATTTAACCTTGATAAATTTTCCAGTGATTGAAAAAAGGACAGACAGTGAAAGAAAGAGGTCCCTACTCTAAGGAGCTTGGAAAGAAAAGCGTCTGGACTTCTTTAAGTTGCTTGAAGACGTTTCACCTCTCATCCAAGAAGCTTCTTCTGTTCCAGGGTCAAATGGTGGAGAGTCCCAGATTTAAACCCTGTGGGAGTATCCGCCCAAAGCGGGACAAAAGGATGGATGACCAATATGTCAATATTATGACCAATAAACAGGCAATATGTCTGTGACTGAGAACCTTCAGATGGTTTGAAAGAGGAGTGAAAGAAGCATCTATGTCCACTGTGAGCGACCATCTTTGAACAGAGGCGGGGTTTACGACACCAACTCTCTGCCATCTATAATCCAGTTTTGAGATCCTTCCCAGACGCCTTAACGCCCACTCACATCCTGGGCCATCTGACCTCAGGAAATCACATGATAGGGTGGGGCCAGGTTTCACAATGAACACACCCGAAACTCTGGCTGATTGGGACCCACACCCATTTTCACACCTTGGCTCATGTGATTAGATAGAGGATCATCAGGGGTCCTTTTGTCCCTCTTTGGGCGGATACTCCCTCAAGGTTTAAATCTGGGACTCTCCACCATTTGACCCTGGAACTGAAGAAGCTTCTCGGATGAGAGGAGAAACGTCTTCAAGCAACTTAAAGAAGTCCAGACGCTTGTCTTTCCAAGCTCCTTAGACTACGATGACCTGGATGACTGAGAACCTTCACAGACATATTTGGTCCCTACAATCACATTCAAGATGAGTGTTAGCATTACCTGAACCTGTGCACTTCCTTCCCAGAGTAGAGAGAATACAGCAGAGTAGGTGCCATTGAGATAATCTGTTATATGCCCTGCAGCACCTGCACCAAGAGTCAAGTTGTGCAGCCGGGCTAGTAAGACATCTCCGCCGGACTTCTTTGGATAGCCTTGAAAGTCATACATTTTTATCATAACCTCCAGTTTATCACCTATGTACCACTGTTCTCCCCTCTTCCTTGGGAGAATGGTGAAGGTGCTATGGGCTGGATCACTGGTGTTGTTCAGAGAAAGAGGAGATGGTAATGGTGGAGTTTTAGGCCAAGCGATGGACTCTAGTACAAGGTGTTCTTCAAGAGCTTCCTCAGGGGACAGTGGTTTTAACTTGCAGAAGTTAGAATACATGTCAGCAGGTTGGGTGACAGTGGCAGCTCCTGGGATGATGATGGTGATGTCCAGTTTATCCCAAAACTGAAAAATTTGTGTGGCAAATACAAAAAATAGCAAATATACTCATTCATAATTCAGCTTTAGTTTTTAACATAATATGATGAAAGATTATTTTTGTGCAGGTATCCCTTCTTTCATTGTTTTTCATAGGTTAATGCAGTTTGTCTGCCACCTTGTTTTTCAATAGAATAATCATGGAATGAATACATATAATACTGTTCTGTGTATTTTTAGCCTTGCTTGATCCATTGTCCAATTTCAAAAGAGTAAAGACTGCTGCCTTAATCTATCACTTTGAGTTTTCCTCTTAACCAGCTGCCTAAAACCAAACAACAGCACAGCTAATGCCGAGCTACAGAAGAGAGAATTTATATCCTGTTCATAGCTTGTACTCACTACAGCCTGTTATAGTTATAGAATATTCACAACATACTTCATACCGTGTACATTATAACATACCATAATAGACCCATTTCTGTAATATACTCACATATCTATATTATTGCTAATATATATTGTAATATATCTATATCACTAAAGCACTTCTGGATGGATGCAAACTGCATTTCGTTGCCCTGTACCTGTGCATGTGCAATGACAATAAAGTTGAATTCTATTCTATTCTATTCAATTCTATTCTATATATTTGATTAATAACTTTTTTCAGCAGATATTTTTTATCAGTAAGGCAAGCATGCTGTACACTTACAAAGTAGTTATCAATTAAAAGTAAACAATCTAATTGTCACGGTTCTGGGTCAAAAGCATTTTCTGTTTCTGTTTTGGGTTTTTTCTAAATGATGATTTGATCGGATTTTTGAGTTGTGCTGGTTTGATTTTGTATTAAGGGTTATTCATGGTTGTGTTCTTTTGACGTTATTTGTTGTTCTGGCCTCTAGTTTAAGTCACTGTCTTCTCTGTTTCATGTGTTATATTCTTTCAGTCTGTCTCTCGGTGTCAAGTTTGCGTTTTTGTGATTTGTTTCGTATTTCCTGTTTTATTTTGCTAGTCCAAGTCCTATGTCTGTGTATTCAGTTTTACCTGCCCCTGTCTTGTTAGCCCTAATCTCTCCCAGCTGTACTCCTGTTTCCCATTCTCTGATAGTAATCAGAGAATGGGAAACAGGAGTACAGTGCATATAAGCCCTGTGTTTTCCTTTGTTCTCTGTCGTGTCGTACCCTCAACATGCTGTGTGTTTGTTATGTCGAGGCTTCCAGCGCCTCTGTTCTGAGTTTTGTTTTGTGTTGCTTTTGTGAGTTTATTTTACGAGGACGTTTTGCCAGCAATAAAGCTGCATTTTGAGTTCCAGTCCCGTTTTGAGAGTCCTGCATTTTGGGTCCTTTCTCCTGCCTGCCTGCCACACAGCACAGCCATAACAGTAATGTTTAAGTATATAGAATTATAGGTGGCTGCTCACTACAAATATACTTCAAAAAGTGATCAACAGATGTGTTTCAACCTCCCTTGATTTGATATGAATCATAGTATGGCTGCACATACAGTACATCATTACTTACAATGCATTATTACAGAAACTTGAATCAACCTCAGAATTTGAACCTTGGGCAGAAGGTTAAAGCTTATAACAAACACATTATTTGCTTGTAAGTCTGTGGAAAAATTTGGGTGCTGTGCTTTAAATTGTTTACAAGTATTTTTTCAAGTCTCGGACCACAAATCCTGTGTCAGAGTCTGTGTTTGCAGACTGTGTGGAGGTTGGATTGTGGACCAAAAACAGACACATGGAAACAAAACATGAGCAATTTATTAAAAAATTGGTGAGCAATAGAAGGTACAGTAATTCTCTTCTCTATGGTCTACCTGATAAATCGCTCCATAAATTGCAGCCAGTTCAAAACACAGCTGCACTTGTTGTTTCCAGAATGAGATCCACTGAACGTATAACACCTGTTCATAAACAGCTCTACTGGCTTCCAGTTCACCTCTGTGTCAATTTCTCTCCTCCATATTTATCTGATCTTCTCCACACATACTCGCCTCCTCGTACACTCCGCTCTGCTTCAGCTTCCCTTCTGTCTGTTCCACCTGGTTGCCTGACTGCCATGGGACTCAGAGCCTTTAGCCATTCTGCCCCGAGACTTTGGATGCACTTCCACCAGATCTCCGGACCACAAACTCTCTCATCACTTTTAAATCACATCTTAAAACCCACTGTTCATCTTTGTGAGCAGTTTTTAAATCACTTCACTGATAAAATTTCTACCTTAAAAGCTCCGGTGATGTGCCAAGCCCCTGATTTACGCTGCTCTATGACACTTGCTCAGTTCGAACCAGTGTCACTTCCTACCCTTAAGGGAATTATTGGCCGTTCACGACATTCTCCCATCTCACATTATTAAGGAGGGATTTAATGTAATTGGGCCTTGTATATTATCACTAATCAATCTTTCTTTGTCACTGGGTTGTGTTCCGGCTGCCTTTAAACATGCCGTAGTGAAACCTGGTCTTAAAAATCGTTCCCTAGATCACTCAAACCTCGCTAATTACAGACCTATCTCGCAACTTCCGTTCCTGTCAAAAATCCTCAAGAAGATAGTCCTATCACAACTTCAGACCTATCTGAATGTGAATAACATCTGGGATAAATTCCAGTCTGGGTTTAAACTACGGAAACGGCACTCTTGAGGGTCTTCAATGATCTTGTAATTACTGACTCTGGGTGCCCCGCGGTCTTCATTTTGTTGGACCTGTCCTCTGGTTTTGATGTGGTGGACCATAATATCCACTTAATGAGGCTTGAACATCTGGTTGGCATTACGGGTATGGCCCTTAGTTGGCTTAAATTCTACTTATCGGAGAGGTCCTTCTCTGTCACGATGGGTACCTACTCCTCTTCCACTGCCCCCGTTACCTGTGGTGTCCCTCAGGGGTCTGTGCTGTTTTCTCTATATATGTTACCGTTGGTCGTATTATTGACAAGTACAAACTCTCTTATCATTGCTATGCGGATGACATTCAAATTTACTTTGAGTTGACTGAGGATGGTACTTCGTCGATGCTTCGCTTCTTTGATTGTATAAGTGAAGTTAAAGACTGGCTGCTGAGCAATTCCTTTATCCTAAATGACAAGAAAACAGAAATTGTAATCTTTGACAGTCACACCCCTGGAGCCCATCTAACTGGTGTCCTCGGGCCCTTTGCTGATTTCCGATTCCGCAAGTAATTTGGGTGTTTACCTGGACGGCTCCTTTAAGTTTGAGAAACATGTGTCCTCTGTTATTAAATCTTCTTTCTATCAACTTCGTTTAATTTCTAAGGCCAAGACATACTTACCACATGAGGATGTAGAAAAGCTTATCAATGCCTGTCACATCCAGGTTAGACTACTGCAACTCCCTATACACTGGGCTTCATTCTGCCCTTCTTCATAGATTGCGACTCGTCCAAAACGCCGCGGCTCGCCTTCTAACTGGTACTCGTAGGGTTTGAGTCTATCACCCCAATTCTCACTGGCCTCCACTGGCTTCCAATTAAATACCGCATTGATTTCAAAATCCTACTGCTTAATTATAAAATCATAAATAACATCACACCTAGCTACCTTATTGATCTCCTTAGCGTGTATACCCCCAGTAGAACGCTGAGATCGTCTGACCAATTGCTCTTGGTGCAACCTAGGTCACGGCTGAAAACCAGAGGTGACCGTGCCTTTGCTTCATTTGCACCTAACCTCTGGAATAACCTCCCTCATACCATTCACGTGTCTGGCTCGAGCAGGCCTTTTAAGTGTCCCTTCTTGCCCTCCCCTTTCCTCTCTTTTGCTTATATTGTTTTTTTGTTTTAATCATTAAGTCTTGCTTGCTTATCTACGTACTTAATCGTTAATCAATGCCTCCCACCTGCTAGCTTATCTACCTTTGTACTTTACTACTATTTTATTGGATTATGTGAAGCACTTTGGCTACCTCTGGTTTTAAATGTGCTATACAAATAAAGTTGTATTGTATTGTATTGTATTGTATTGTATTGTATTGTATTGTATCTATTCAAAATTTCATACAGCTGATTCTGTCTTAGTACATTTTTACCTTGCTCAGCTTTTATACTTTCATGCTTTTTAGTTTTTTGTTATTCACATTATGCCTAAATTTTATTTTGCCACGTTTTATTGTATTGTATTGCTGCTACTGTTCTGTACTATTGTAAGGTAACCTTGAGGGTCTTAAAGGTGCCTATAAATAAAATGTATTATTATTATTATTATTATTGAATTTTAAGTACTTTTTGTATTAACATCTAATGAATAATTTGTATATTTATTTAATTAACACAAATATTTAATTATGTATTAAGTTAATTCATTTTGGTACTCGAGGTCCTCCATAACTTCAGGGTTGAAGTCTTTAAAGCTTAAAGTTTCTACTTCAGTTATATTAACTAATGAAGCAAAGCTACAAAAGGAGTCTTTGTAAAATAAATTATGCACCCAACCCCCCCCCCCTTTTTTCTTTAATTGTGCTAGTTGCTCTTTCTTTTCTCATTTCTGATTTTGAGAAAGTAAATAAAATTAAGAAAATTAACTAGTAAATTAATTACAAAAACAAATAATTAAAAAAAAAACTCACATCCAGAATGTCCACGATGTATATAATCAGAATCAGGACAAACACAATGAGGAATACGAAGATGTAACCAGGCTTTGGAAGGCAGGTGGAGTGTTTATAAAGTAGGAACTTCATGACTGGAAAACAGTCCTCATGTCTTGTTGCAGCGTTGTGCTGTGTGACCAGTTCACCTGGTAGTGAATGTAGAAGTGCTCTGCATTATGTATGTGGAAACTGTCTTACTTTCACAGTTAAACATAGCAATGGTTAAGCGGAGAGTTATGTGGATCCTTCCAGGTTTTAATAATGGATCGGATTTTTATATCAGTTTCAGCAGACTCCTAGATGTTTTCTTTGCTTAATGAGTGACCATTCTCTGAAACAGAGTAAGACTTTTTCCAGTATTTTCACATTTCTTCTGACATCACCATTAAACAAATGAGAAGATATTCATTA